TACAGTTTTATTTCAGGGGAATTACCTTGATAACTGACTGAATGAAAGAAATGAGGAACTCATCAGCATCCTCTATCTCCCTCTCCTATTTGTAATGTGATCCTTGTTGCATGCATTCTCACTGCTCCTGGCTATCTGCATACACTTAAATTAGAAGACTGTTGATCTTGTAACCTCTCACCTCCATTGTTAAATGCACTGCAGCACTCTTTGTGTAAATTATGCAGTCATTTCAGTTCCCAATCATAGTGGTGATCTTTGGTGTTACCAGTGACCCTATCTGCCACTAACCTTGCCATTGCCTTTCACCTAATAGTAACATCACAATCTTTCAAGTTTTGTGTATCTAGAATGCTTTCAGTTTCTTATTAACCTTTTAATGTAAGTGAGGAATTAGCTCTCAGCTCAACACCCATGCCTGGAGGACTTGTTGGTTTGCTTTTGGGGTTTTCTCTTTCCTGGATGATTGACTTTCGGGGAAACCAAGTATCTCTCCTTAGCAGCTATTTAACCCATCCAAGGGCAGTAGCAATACTCCTAACTTCTTCAATCTTCTGAAATTTGAGTTAAGCACCATGCCCTATGTAGGCTGCTAGGATAAAAGAATTCATTTAGATATGCTCCCATTTCAATGGTGAATAATAATTTTATTCTAGAAAATGCCACTACCACTTAAAATCTACAAAGAACCATGTTATTTTGTTTATTATATAAACATACTGATAGCAACGTTTTTGATAATTTTCAAACCACCATCCTAAGATTTCTGAAGATTCTCTAAAAATTGTCCAAGGGCCACACAAACGTTTCCGAAAATTTTCCAAAACATTAAAATAGTAAACAGCATTTTTCTTCTCCTACATGCTACTCATTGATGTTAAAAGATGATTTGGATAGGACAGATGCAAATTTCATCATAGTAGCATTTTGTAGGCTAATAGGCTTGAGAGGAAATCAGCAGCAGTGTCATAAATTTATGATAATTTTTTCAGTTTCTTTTCACTTTGAAAAAACCATTTGTTTACCAAATTGTGAGATTTTAGTGCTTTAACAAATTGCCACTTAACTCTGTTGTGTAGCAGTTAAATGGTTAGTGTGCTGGACTCCTTATAGACTGTCTGTGTCACCAGGCCCGTACCTGTGTCATTTGGTTGGGTGTTGTCACTTGATATTGAATTTTAATAATGCACCTTTCAAATGTCAGAGCAATTCTCCAAATATCTCCACAAAACGTACTGCCATGTCATTTTGGTGGTAGCTAAAAAACTTGCATGTTCTAGGATATCATAACATAGTGTTATTATGGAATTTCCAGTTCCAGCTAGTTTACATGAGTTGGCCAAAAGGCTAAAGGGGGAATCAAGAAACTAACAAAGCCACAATTTATTTAATAACTCATGGTGAAACCCACATATGAAAGTCTTATGTTCATACTTAAAATACTTTGCTGTCTTGGTCTTGAAATGTCTCGGGCTCACTACCTTTCAAAATCTTGCATTTACCATTTACCATCCATATGTATCTTTGTTTTCTGAGGTGGCACAATGTGATCGGCTATTCTTGGGTTGCACTGTCACACAATTAAATAATAATTCAAAAACCATTCAGTGTATGAAGTCAAGAAAGTATGATGTTATAGGAGATAAATAAAGAAGACACTTCTCCAAGGCTTACGTCAGTACATTTTCCCAAACTTCAAATATCTGCCAAAATATTTTGCACAAATTTAGAGCACAGTATGGAGCCGCCTTATTAGTGTACCTCCGTGGTTCCACAACATGGCGGCCGGAAAATAGTGTATAAAAACATCTGGAACTTACTTTGGCCATCTAGGCAACTGATTATCAAGCAAACATTTAAATAAGCACTTTTCCTAATATTTTAACTTCTAAAAGGCTAAAATCAT